TCTTGAAATCTCAATCTAGTACATTGCTGGGTGGGGAATTCTGGGAGTTGAAGTCCACAGGTCTGCAAAGTTGTCAAGATTGGGAAACATTGGCTAAAGTTCTCTTGTCTTGAAATCTCAATCTAGTACATTGCTGGGTGGGGAATTCTGGGATCTGAAGTTCACAATTATTCAAGGGGCCAAGTTCAAAAAGCTGGATGAATTAACGCTGCGAAACATGTAAGAGCAGGGGTGTCAATCACAAGGACTGTGGGCTGATCCCGGCCCACGATGCGGTTGGATCCAGCCTGCAGGGCTATCCCGGAAAATTTAAGGGGCCGCCTTGCATCACTTCGACCCAGTCTACCCAATGCAAAGAGGAAACATGCCAGCTGTTTGGGGGAGCGGCATCAAGCTGGCCATGGCCTCCCAGTGGGCCATGCCCAGTGAGGGGCATCAGGCTGTCCACACCTACTCAGCCAGCCACGCCCAGCTGTCCTCCCCTGAGGTCAACCATGGCCCTGATGCAGCCCTCAATGAAATTGAGTTTGACACCCCTGATATAGAGCTTCCTGAACAAAACTTAAGGAAATCATGCTTGTCAGTGAATTACACCACTTTGCTCCCTTGATGGGAGGGAGGGATGCAGTGGAAGGTGCTTGTTGAGAAGCCCAGAAGGAACAGGATTGGGGCTTTTAGAGGGGACATAAAGAACATTGGGGGGGGGGGAGCAGTGGGACGTTTGCAGAACACACAGCAACCGTGAAGGAGAAAACAAACCCATAAGGTTCGCTTGGAAAGGCGAGCGAGAACTCAGAAAAAAAAGTGAAATGCAGAGATCTCTTGTCAACAGAAGGGAATATTTGTAGCTCGGAGTTGAACTGTGAGGTCCTTGGTGCTCTCCTGCCGACATTTCGTGATCCAACTAGGTAATATCCTCAGTGCTAGGGGTGTGGAGGTTATGGGGGTGGAGGAAGAGGGAAGGAGGAGGAGGGCTGGGTCCTTGGTGCTCACTGAGCTTGGTTGATTTCTTGCAAACATTTCATTACCTAACTGGGTAACGTCATCAGTGCTAGAACAGTTTGCTCTCTTGTTTATATACAACCGCTGGCATGGCCAACTCAGACCAACAAACTTAACAATACACACTGAAGGAACCACCAAGAACGCTCCCACCAACACTGACAGGACCAGCAACCTGTTTATAAACAGTGAGCAAACCCCACACACCCTTGAAGCACTGATGATGTTACCTAGGTGGGTCATGAAACATCAAGAAAACAGCCAGCAGCACAGAGACACCTCTCTCTTAGATTTTGTGTGAGCAGCGATAATAAAACCTAATTAAACGCTTTCAAATCCAGGTGGAAAAATAAATCGCAGCACCACCTTACAGAGCCCCTCAAAAATTCAATAATGCTTTTATTAGAAGAGATTATATGCCCTGTGTTTTGTTCACCTACACCCACCCACCCCCACTTCCCCCTCTAAAAAATAATGTCTTGAGCTTCCACCAGAGTTTGGAGCCGAACAAAGTGCTGTCTTCTCTTTACAAGGAACACAGTATGTTCAAGTATCTCGTACAAAAAAAGATACACAAGGGGGTTTTACAATAAGCTAAAAGAATTCTACATACGTACAAAAGGGGTGGGTGGGGGGAGAATAGGGATGTGTATATCAAAAGGCGTTAGGGAAGTTGCTGGCGGCAGCAGCAGCTGCTTCTGCTTCCGAGGTCCTCTGTTCAGGTGCTGCAAAGAGACAACAGTTTCACTTAAAAAAAAAAAGGGCTCCCCATTTCTGTAAGGCAGAATATTGACAGCGGTTTCTGAAAAGGCGAAGGACAGTTGCAACCGAGGTGAAGAAGTTCCATCTTTTGAACGTAACTGAAACTAAACTTTTATTTCCAATGTTCTGTACTGCCTTGAGTGACTCTGGATTCCTGGTGACCGCCTGGACTAACCAGTATCCAGGCTTCTTGCCAGATTTGAGCAAGTCGTTTTGCCCTTGCCTGCTTTATGGGGCTGAGAGAGAGAGACTGGCCCAAGGACAGCTGATTGGCTTCATCCTCTGTGCTTTCGACCACCACACGAAACTGACATTGCTGGTTTAATACAAGTTACTGTTCTGGGACTGGCACAGGGTCTCAACTAGTTTGGGTTCTCAACTTAGTTGGGTCTGATGAAATTCCCTACATGCAACACTGGTGTTTAAATCAGCTTCGTTTCCCTCCCTCTCGCTGTGGGACTTTGAACAAGCAAGGATTTACCGGAATTAGCCAGCTTGGCTTGGCTTGGCTGAACGTCTATGATGATGCATTCGTCGTCATCTTCTTCCTCGGTGTCTGCCTGAAATCCATCCATCTCTGTCATTTCCGCCTTGAACAAAAGAGAGAGGCGCGTCAAATGTTGGGTGTCAGCCCTCCCTCCCTCCCAACTTGGGAAAGAAAGACTCTCGGATCCATTGTTAGGGAAAATACACTCTACTAAAGCCAAGTGGTTACAATGAAGCAAAGCCGGATCTGAATTTTTCGCACCCAAATTAAATTGTGAAATTGGGCCTGGTCCTACGATGACCCATTCGATGACTGCCATGACTTTACAGCCGTAATTATGGTCATAACTTTGAGAACGCTCGGTAACTACTTCGCAATCCCCATTGGTCATACAAATAAAATAGTAAGCCAAGAGAGGAGACTCGTGCGGAAGGCTCCTGCGTGGGGTGTTCTTGTAAGAGGAGTGGCTCCTCTTAATGATCATTGCAATAAATAAGGATGGCAAAGCTGGCTCAGTCCACACAATGACTAGCTTTGCAACCTTAATTACCACAGGCTCAATTATGATCGTAAGTCCAGGACTACCTATATCCTATGCAGAGGGGTTGCTTCCAGTTCGGCTAAACCGGTAGTGGTGATTTGGCCTGGTTCGCAGAACCGGCAGCGACCCAGGCTGGCCATGCCCCCGAACCGGTTCTCCGGTCTCTTCTGCCCTTGGCGGCATGTTTCTGCTCATACACACAACAATTTACAGTCAACTGTGCATGCGCGAGCAATGCGCGGTGGGCACCCAGCGAACCGGTACCAACCGGTACAGGAACCCACCCCTGATCCTACGCGAATTAAGACAAAGCTTCTTGGATCTGAGCGTCAGCCCCACAGTCGGTAAACAAAATGTGAAGCCAAGAACGAGGGTGGCATAGCTTGCTAACGGCCAGCAAGGAGGAAATTACTAACTTGGGTACAGAAGCTCGTCCTTACCTGCTCTGTCCCCGGAGGTCTCCTCATGAACTTGGTTATTGACATGCTTTGCGTTGACTTCCGTTTTGCGGAGACTGGGGGGGTCTGGGTTGCCGCCCCGCCTTGCAAACTGCCCGCTTCTTCCTTGGCCACGGATGGAAGCTGGGTAATGTAGTTCCACTGGCAAGGCACGGGCAGGTGCTCCTGGCCAAAGTTCTTCAGGACCTCGGATTGCACGTACCAACACATCCGGTACTCGGGCCTCTTCTCGTAGACGGAGTTCTCGGAGATGATCCTCTTCAGCCTGGCCTTGGAAGGAACGACGTTCTCGCAGGCCGGAGATTGGCCTTGAGAGACCTTGGGGCTGGCCTCTCCACTGCCCAGGGGGGTGACCGGGCTGCTGGGATCCGACAGCAACGCCAAGCGGCAACATTCTTGGAACTCCTGAATGATGACTTTGCTTCCGTTCACGTTGCCGTGAAGTAGCGGAAGCAGCTGGGCCAGAACTGCAAAGGGGCGAAAAGCAGAATCTTAGTTACGCCGAGGATATCCCTGGCTGCCGGAGCAATAGAAGTCACAGAAGGGACATTTGAGGTCTTCTAGTCCAGTGGTCCCCAACCCCCGGTCCGCGGACCGGTGCCGGGCCGTGGAGT